TTAAATATTGGATACAGTTTGTAAATAATATATTTTAAATATTGGATATAGTTTGTAAATACTATATTTTAAATATTGGATATAGTTTGTAAATACTGTATTTTAAATATTGGATATATTTCATAAGTACTATGTTTTAAATATTGGATATAGTTTATAAATGCTATACTTTAAGTATTGGATATAGTTTACAAATACTATATTTTAAATATTGGATACAGTTTATAAATACTATAACTTTAAACATTGGATATTTTAAATATTTTCGTGTATGCGTCCTGCATGTTTCACGCATTTTTCTAAATTTTTGAATCTGCCACGGATGCACGAAAGTTTGCTGTACAGTTACTGCGAATACTTATCTAAGATCTTAGACGAAGATCTAAGGCTCTAATTGTTCTAACGTGAACTTTTATTCGTCGGTTGTGTTTCGCGCTATCGACTTTCGGTTAAGTCGGTCAAGCATCGCACGAGGATGCACATGGTACACGTGTACGAGTTTCTTGCTAAGGTATGCACCCGTCCACACTTTCACCGAGCTTATTCGCTATCTGCACCATCGCCACGGAGTATGTTACCTAACGAAAATGATCCGGTCGAGCAATTTAGCAAATTCGAGATCTTAATCTCGGCAATAAATTCTTCGTGGGAGCAGTGAGATAAGTTTCTTTAGTGAAAACGATGTGTCTAAACAGACACAAAGAATTGAGAACATGGAGAAGATATTCGAACATCTTTTTTCTTTCTTTTTTCAAATTCTGTTGCTATCAAAATATTCTAGAGGAATACGCAAACAAGAGGAAATTACTTGCAATTAAGCATCGTGTGTTATGTTATGTAATGAACACACCGAAGACGATAATATAGCTGGTATTTAACAGATGTTTTTGCTTTGTGATTTTATCGAGACTAAACGTTCAATATTTCATATACGAAGGTACCTGAATATTTATTACAGAAGGTTTTCACGAATCTTCATTATCTTTGAAATGTCACTATAAAGCGTGACATAAAAGTTAATGCAATCAATAATTTGAATTTGCAATTTCTATATATCTTCCAATTTCCAGAAACAATTTCATATTCTTCTTTTTCTATCACGACAATTGTATTCTGTCTTTTATAACGTAACATATAATACACTTGGATAAAGTTTCTCCGAACGTTCAGCCGGATTTTCCGCGAATCATCCGCCGCGTTAAAATTTTAAATTCTGAATTTACTTGATAATCGAACTTCCACGAACAGACGAAGAGAAGAGAAATCTGATAAGAAAGAAAATCCATCGTCCAATCCTCTCGCTTAACTCCAAATTTTTCCATTCTTCTTCCATCAAGAAAAAAAAAAGAAGAAGTACAAATTAACAAATAAATTCTCTGTCTCGATTGTGATATTCAAACGTTACGTGCACGTGTGTG